CATAATTTTTACATCAGTAAAATGATACCAATAAATTATCATTTTAATTTAACAAAATGGCTACCCTAACAAACACTTTACAAGCACAACACATATTATTTTTTAATTAATCAGAAGTATTAGAATGAGTTAAAGATATAATAGTTTCTTTGTTTTATATTCCCTGACAACAGGATATTTGTCTTTATTACTGAAGTTTATCTTTGAAATATATCATTCAAAATAGAGCTTACATATAATAGCAATGTCATTTACAATTTTAAATCATTGATTGGAAATGCATTCTCTAGATGTGTATGTGTGCTCTGAACTTGGGCATCTGGAGTCACCAGGATTTTGTTAAATTCTCAGATGAGTAGCTGTGCCCAGCCTTAACTTTTTCCCAATGATTTGTGAGCCCTAATTTCACTACCTTGGGGACTTCTTTACCTACAAGTTATATTCTGTATCATTGTTACTGCAGTCAGGACTAAGCATGTACATGAGGGCTCCATGGTCAGTTCCTTGGGCTCCTGTTGCTGTGGTTTCCAGGTAAAACCTAACTAAAATGAGACTTATACTGTTACATTGTGATTAGTGTTGACTGGAATTTCAGGCATGTTCCTTCTTATCATGCTTAGCTATGTGAATATCTATTACATTTTCACCTCTAGGTGCCAGGGGTGACAAACAGATGACACTTGTTTTTATCTCTGGGAGACAGAGTCACAATCACTTGCAGGGCAAGTCAGGGCATTAATTTTGGTTCAAACTTGTTCAAGCAGAAACTAGGGAAAGCTCCAAAGAGCCTGATATATCATGCAGCCAATTTGGAAGATGGGATCTGATCAAGTGCAGTGAATTTGGAGCAGATGAAAACATAGAGAACATAGAGGTGTTATAGATGTTTCCAGAAGTGTTATCAATCCAAAACTGATATCCCAGAGAATAGTTTTAGAAACAAAACACCAACACAACAACAGACACCTATACTCTTTTCCCTTATGTTTTCAGAAATCATGTATAGGTAAGATCTATTTCCTGTTTCCTCATAGTATCCTATTCATCTACACAGCTGCCTGTTCATCTCCAAAATACCCAGTCTCTTTTCCTTGTTAAGTTCATTTTCAGTTATTTATTTTTAACATTTCTTTATGGATTTCACATCTTATATACCAGTTACAGTCATCTCCCCTTCTGTTCATATTGACACTCTACCCAGCTTAAACTAAGCCCCCAACAGACAAAAAATCTTGTCATGGAAACTGTAGTGTGTCATAGTATACCAGAGTGCAGACACTTCTCTACAATCTTTGTTTACAAATTTTCATTGGATTGACACACTGGCCTGGTATAAGGCCTCTGGCTTCTGCTACTTTATTAATACAGCAACATCATTAGTGCTCTTATTGAATATCTTTTTGTTGCACTGTGTCATGAAGATCCTGTAGTTTTAGATTTGTAGGACTGGATCCTTCATGTACTCGATAGGCCTAGTCACTGCATTAGCCATGTTTTAGTAGGTCAATTCAAAATCCTGGATGAGGCCAGAGAGGTTTCTGAGCTGATCCACCCTCCAGCTCTCCAACTTCCATGGCCATGAAGTTGTCAACTCACTAGCAACCACCATAAAAAGGGCAAGCTAAACCTTGTGTCTAGTTCAGGTACAGGGTGTGTTCTGCTCAGTGATGCAGCTGTTGATGGACAAGGCCATTTCTCTGACTCTCATGACCCTAGGGACAGCTGTCCTGTCTGCCAACCAAGTCCATTACACAGTAAAAAAGAGACAGGGTGAGCTCTCCCATACTAACACACTAAGGGCTGGCTCACTTGTAAACCTCATATTCTGGGTAAGCTCTACTGTGCTTCCCATGTAAAATTCAGGATCTTCACTCTTCAGTGCTGAAGCATTTGAGGAGTAGAACAATCTCTCCCCCTCTAATGACCTTGGAGCCTGATGTCTGGTCTATGTAGCAAGAGATTGGGGGGCATCTTTCATTTCCCCGTGTAACCTTGTGGCAGAGAAGTGGCAGGGCCAGCTTTCCCACAATAAGGCCCTCATGTTCAGCTTATCTGTGCTCTGCCATCAAGGTCAGATGTAATGTGCTGCCCACCCAAGGTGCAGGACCTTCTGTCGTGAATGATGCAGCTGAAGAGAGTCAGAGCCAACTCTCCTGCTCTTATGACTCAAAGTTCAGTCTCTTGACTGCCATAGGTCAATAGAGGTGAAGAGATTGTCTCATGCATGGTGATGAGTGTTAGCAGAAGTTCTCTCATGCTGCTTGTATCCTCTGGGGGAGCAGACCTACGGCTCCTGCAATGTGTGGGCCCAGGCTCCTGTGACAACTGCAGGTGGCTAGTGCAAGCATCTACTCTCCTGATTTCATGCCTTCAGAGCCATCTCTCCTACCATGCCCAGATGATGAGCTGAGCCAGTTCATCCCAATCCTCAGACACCAACATGTCCCCAGGTCCCAAACTTGGATGTTTGCTGGACTTTGGTGGTGACATACATCTGCTGATACTGTGGACCCAGTCATGGCCCCCTGGTGGCAGCATAGGCCACCACTTTACCATGGTCTTGTCATCAACAACTACTCACAGCAAGCTGTTCCTCATAACCCTCTAGTCTCCAGTTCTGCCTCTCTTCTTTGTGACCACATTCTTCTATTTCTTCTTTTCTCCCATTTATCCATCACTCACTTTCTTGTCTTAGAAGATCTCGTAGGCTCTTGAGTTTTGGGAAATCATTGCAAAAGAGGTCTCAGGTGTGCTATGCCCTGCTTGTGCATTATGTCTCCAGGCAGGGGTCATTGTGGGCATGATCTGTCCTTTGGCCCTGGCTGGTCCTTAAGTAGTGGTCAGTTAGTGCTAGCTAGCTGTCTGGGCCCCGTGATGCCAGACTGGTGTGCATTTTGGGCTTACTACTTGCCCTTCCTGCCTGAGTGGAACCTTGCAATGGATGTCTGTCATTCCTGTCCAGGGCCCCTGAACTTATGTGAGGTTCTTCGATTGTCCAGTTCCCCATCCTGGGAGACAGTCTGAGACTGCCTAGTACTAGTCTTTTCTTCTCAGGCTCTCTTTATTTCAGAAAATTATAGGCTACTGATCAGTCAGATGTTCACAGATCAAAATACTGAACAGATGTAGTGTCTCTCCTTTCTGTCACCTACTGACACTCATGTGACAAAGCAACAATACCTGCAATGCTTCTATAAGGCAGTAATGGACAAGAGTCTTAATTATTCACAATTTCATAGATGGAGAAACTAGGCCAAGAGGAGATTAAGGGGACGTCTAAGGAAAGTTATATATTTAGAGCTTTCTGATGTGTGATACCATGAATAGCCAAGGGCAGTTAACTATTTTTTTAAAAGGGACATAACAGGTGAAGTCATCAATGAAGTGATTAAAAAGGAACAGAGAGATGGCTCCACAGAAAGGAGGACTGGCTGATCTTGTAGAAGACCTGTGGTTCTTTGCATGCAGCTGGTGGTTTACAACCATTTATAAATACGTTTCTAGAAAATCTGATGAATTCTTCTATTCTGACTATCCTGGGCACAGACATGCATACAGACAGACAGGCAGACAGACAGACAGACAGACAGGCAGGCAGGCAGACAGGGAGACAGCCAGCCAGCCAGCCAGCCAGCCAGCCAGCCAGGCAGCCAGGCAGCCAGCCAGCCAGGCAGCCAGGCAGGTAGGCGCACACACACACAC